ATCGTCTTAAATATTCATTATTATAATATTACCATTTTTGAAAAAAAAATAAAATATGATCTATTTTTCTTTCAAAAATCCTTTAAAAATAATAAATAAATAATAAAAAATAAAAAATCTACTCTTTCTTACTAAATCATTTGAAATTATTTTTTTTTAATTATAAAAATAAAAAAATCAGCTTATTATTTGAAAAGTTAACTCATTGTAAGTTAAAAATTTATAGAACTAATATCATATAACATTATGAAAAAAATTAAAGAAACATTTAAAAGATTAATGGGTAAATATTTAATCAGAAAACGGTTAAATTACTTGTCAAAAAAAAAGGATAAATAACATACTGAAGTTACAAGAAAAGAAATATTAAAGAAGATTTATGAACTGAGATTTTGGAAATACTTATATAACTTAAAATTACCAAATAAGAAAATTATTAATTATTTGTATTATTTAAATTATCAAAAAGGAAGATTATATAACCTTTATTCCAAAAGAAGAAATTAGAAAGAGAAAATACTTGAGAATAAAGAATGTTAAAAACATGAATAAAATAAGAATAGGAATGGAAATAAAAGAATACAAAAAGGATAGAAATAGAAATAAGAAATAATAGTAAAAATAAATGATGTAATGTTAGAAATATTAATAAAATAGAAATAGAAATAGAAATAGAAAAAAAAATAAAAATATTAGAATTAGAAATTACAAGAATAGGATTAGACAGGAATAGGATTAGGGATTATATAAATATGAATAAGAATTATGAGTAGGAATAAGAATAGAATAGAAAATTAAGAATAAATGAGAAGAATGATCTATGAATCTGTACAACTTTAAATAATATAAAAGTAGATAAATTTCTCTCTTATAATCTTAATCTTTGATCACTCATATATCTCCTATACTTAAATAATAAATTAATAAAAATTATTATAAATAATTTAGTGCTTAAAAAAGAATAATAGGTTTAATATAATTCTTAGTAAATTTATTAAATTGTAAAATAATAAAACTTGGAAATTATAAAATAAATAAAAAACGTCTTTTAATAATATATTTATATCATGATTATAATATTGAAATCCTCTTTGATATATTAAAGTCAATATTAAGAACTAACTTGTTATAACGTGAAATAGAAATTTATTGATAAACTATAAATAAAGGAAATTTTAACTGAACAAAGAAAAATAAAAATATTAAAGAATTATAAATTTTTCAGATTACAAGAAAATAATTAAACAGAAGGTTAAAATGGAAAGAAATAATAAAGATTAAAAATTACAGGGAGACTGAAAATGAAATAAGAAGAAGAATAGAATCACTGAATAATAATAAAATCTTTGAAGAAATTTTCAATACTATTGATAATGAAGAATTATGAAAATGAAGAAGAAAAGATTATTAAAAATTTGGATTTTACTGATAATTAGAAAATAATTGAACAGAAGGTTCAATAATAAAAAATGATTAAGAAAATTAAGAAAAGACGATGCTGAAATAATGAAAATAGAATTGTAAGAAACTTGAAAATTAGAAAATAAAGAATTGGATGTTTTAGAATAAAGTGAATAAATAGAAATCTGATTTTTAGACAAATAAAATAATTTGTAAAATAAATCCTCTTGAAAATGAGTGGTAGAAATAGTTTAGGAAGATACAGTTCTTGTTGAAGCTATTGAACTTATAAAATATTATACATTTGTAAATCATGGGTTTTGACATTTACAAATTTAGTACATGCTTTGAAAATTAACAAAAGTACATATTTATATATTACTACATGATAGAAGATTTAAAAATAACAGATTATTCAGAAGAAGTTAATTAAAGAATTATTTGAAAAAACAGAAATTGAAATGTTAGAAAATAAACAAATATATGAGAAAATAATTTTAATGGAAGCAGAAGATAATGTAGAATCAGAACAGATGAAAATACAGAAATATTGAAAAATAGAAATAATAATAGACTTTGTAAAATTATGATCAAGTATAGTGAAATTTATTAAATGAATTTTAAGAGTTGATCGCCTTGAAATTATTTGAGAATCTTCATTGTGATGATTTCATTTTGATATTCTAGGAATTATATGAAAAAGTCAGAGTCTATTTATTAAATTTTATTTGAATAGTTTTTAGATTTTAAATTAGTTAGAAAATTTATTTTAGAATTAATTTTAGGAAATTTTATTTGGAAACATCAACAAAATTATAAATTGATGATTTATAGTATAGAATTTTATTTTATATCAACTAGAGAGTCATTAAACTTATATGAAAAATAGTATTTTAGGTTAATTAGAAAGTCGTTAAACTTAAATAAATAATAATATTTTTGGCTGATATAAAAGATAATATTTTGTGCTGACCAGAAGAAGTCAAAGTTTTTGTGAAATATTAGAAACTGAAACTGTACTTATGATCCAGAACAATTATAATGTATAGATTGGATTTCATATCTGAAATAAATCTTAGAGTAAGCTAATAGGAAGTAAAGAAAAAGTTAATATTTATTCTACTAATATTAGCAAAATAAAAGAGCAAGAAGCACAAATTCCATTAAGTAAAAAAATAAGTGAGAAAATACTACAAGCATATAAATCTCAAAATTAGAACATTAGAGTCTGAGAAATGTTGTAAATTTTGCCATAAAATCATTGAACTAGTTGGGATATTATTAGCATGAAGAATAAATAATACCTTAGGAAATTCTTAGAATTTACATTGAAAAATGAAATAGAGCATTAGCTTAATTGATTATTTTTCAATTACAATAATGCTAAAATTTAAGAATACTAATAAATAGAATTAGAAGAAAAAAAATATATTAAAAGGAGTAAATTTAGAAGAAAAGATAAAAAGGAAAATTTTAATTATGAAGACTGACGCAATTTCAGATGCAAGGAAAACTTGAAAAACTAATTATAAGAAATACTTGGAAAATGAAAAATAAAGAATTGTTGCATATATTGCAATTTTTTACCATTGAAAACATCTTATGGATTTGACTCTTTTTGGAATTAGATTACAATAGAATTCACAGCATTATTAGTAACTGGAATAATGATAGAATACTTTGAAAGATTATTACAAAACCTTAAAGCTGATGAAAAGGATGAAATTATAATAAAAGATGTATAAGATATAACGAACTTGATAGTTTATAAAGAACAACCATTAATTCAGAATATAATGAAATTACTGAAAATTTTTAAAGAAACATTTATCAGAAGAAATCTCTTAGAACAAACAAGTGAAGGAATTCAGAAAAATCAAAAGATAAAGAAAAAATAAGGGAAATAAAATGTATGATTTGTAAAGAAATACAGAAAGACGAAAATAATAACAAAATATTATTTTAACACAAAAATCAAATTATAATTAATGAATGATACCCTTACAGAAAAGAAGCAATGATAACTAGAAAAACACATAGAAGAGAAAAATTTGAAATATTATTTTAATGTCATAATTGGTTAATTACAAATGGGTATAATAGTATTAGTATAATAAGAGAAAGATATTAAATTGGATATTTTAAATATTATGCAGTAAAAAGAAAAATAATAAAACCTTTTCAAGTTAACGTAATAACATTTTGGAAAGGAAGAGAAAAAATAACAGACATAACTGAAAATAACAAATAAGAAAAAGATATAAATACAAGAAGAATTAAATCATCTTTATAAAATATTAATTCAGAAAACTCAAACTCAAGTCACTACAAAGAAAAAATTCTAGAAGAAAATCTTGAAGAAAATAATTATATACCAAATATAAATATTATCAATATGAATCAAAATACCTTAGCTCAAGTGTTAAAGGATATAAGATTAAGCCCAAAAATTGTAAACTTTAAATATATTTATGGAAAATTAACAGAAGATCTGGAAAATTGGTTAAAACATTTTAATAAAGCAACAAAAGTGAATAACTTTTTATTAGAAAGAAAACTAAATGTAGTAGGAAACTACCTGAAAGGAAATGCAAAAATATAGTATGAAAACTTAGATTCAGAACTAACTCAATAGGAAGATGAAAAAGAAGAAGAGGAAGATGCAATATTATTCACAACACTATTTAGAGAAAATTTGTAACAGAAGAAAGACTTAATCATTGGCAAGATGAATTATTAAAACTTAAACAGAAAAGACCATTAATAAATTATATTGATAAATTCAAAAGTTTATACAGAAAACTAGAATGAGAAGAAAACAGATTATCAGAAGAATATTTGAAAAAAATTATTTATTAAAGGATTAAAAAGATCAATAATAAAAAGAATTATAGAAGAAGATTATAAAAGTGTAAAAGATATAATTAAGAAAGCAAGAAGAATTGAAAGAGGTGAAAAATACAGAGAAGAAGAAGAATATAAGTAATCAAAAAATGATAAATATATAGATGAATTAACTAAACAAATGGAAAAATTATATATTAACATGATAAATTAAGTAAAAAAAATGCTTAATAACAAGAATACAGAAAAAAATGAATATAATGAAAGAAATTATACTGAAGGAAAAATTTTAGATATAATAATTACAAAGGAAGTAATTTCGAAAACAGAAAATATAAAACTTATGGAAGGAATAGACTATAAATAAGAGACAAAACCCCTTAATAACAGTCAAAACTTAGACGAAACTATATTAAAATCATAATAAGGGATATGACGAAACCTTTTCAATACAACAAAAGCCAAAACTGTTGAAACTATATTAAAAACATAGAAAAGGGTATGACGAAATTATTTTGAGAAGGTTTTGGTAAGCATCTATAAAATAGACACACTCAAGAATATTATTAAAAGATAAAAATTATTACAGATGTAATAAAATAGAATACATTGCATCACATTATAAAGAAAATATTAGAAGAGTTAATTATATTAATGCAGAAGATTCAAAAGAAGAAATATACTTTATAACAAGATTGAAAAAAATTTATAATACCAATAGACTAAGAATATTTAGAAGAAAGAATAATAATGTAATGGAAATAGATGATGAATATACTAAAATAAAAAAAAAGAAAGAAAATTCAGAAATTGATAAAATAAAAGAATATAGTATCATTAAAGATTTAGGAGAACAAAAAGCAAATATCACTTTCAAACAACTAATTAAAGAATCTAAAAAAATAGAACAAGAATTAAAGAATGTAATAAAAAGACCAGTATTTCAAGAATTGAAAAACATAGAAAAAGAACACAGAAAATTAAAAAGAAAAATTGATAAAGAAGAAGATATATTTAACCTAAAAGAAACTTACAAACTTAATGAATATGAAGTAAGAACAGATAAAATAATGGAAAAACTTTATAATAGAATAGAAGAAAGTAAAGAATCAGAAAATAATAATTCAGATAAAGATTGACTATACCTAATAGAAAACTTAAGTATAATACCACTAAAAAAAATAATTAGAATAATGAAGAAAAGATAGAAGCAATAATAGATATAAGCACTTCAACAAATATTATTACAAGTAAATTATTACACAAATTAAATATAAAGGTACAGAAAACTAGTAAAAAGATTTTTAAAGTAGCAAACAGAAAAGATATACCATTCTTAGGATAAATGAAATTAATAATGAAAATAGAAGAATATAAGATATCAGTAAAATTATAGGTTAGATTCATAAGAAAACAAATTATTATTAAGAATGAAATGGTTAAAAAAACACAATGTGAAAATAAATATTGAAATAAAGAAAATAATAATACAACATGGAACAAAGAGAATCAAATTTAGACAACTTATCAAAAATCATAAGGAAATCCGCTACAATAAACCTGAAAAGCTACCATTTCTCTTCAAACATTCAGA